GGAATCCTGTTGATGTCTGACACTGGGAGGAACATGATGCTCTCAGTTTGAGATGGAACTTACCCATTTCTCCCCAGAAGAAAGGGTTGATTCCACCCGTTGTGCAGTTGTACACCAACAAGTTTTTTGGTCTGGAGAAAGAGAAAGAAGTATTATTTCAAGATGTGAAGAAAAGCACCCAAAGGTTCATTAACGGAGCGTGAGATTTAAAAGCCCGAGAAACAGTAACATCAGCTCATAAAAAAATGCAGAAGAGGGCATTTTTCATCACAGGATCATAGAGTGATCAGAAGGGAGTTTATAGACCATCTCATTCCAACCCTCTGCCATGGGCAGGGACAACTCCCACTAGACCAGGTTGCTCAGAGCCCCAAAACCCTCTGGCTGTGAGTAGAATTCAAATGTGCTTAGGGAATCCCTAACTGGATTTTGAGTCCAACACCTTCACGCCTCAGCAATCACAGGTGAAGATACAGTGTAAAATATGAAGTTTTGATAAGATTCAGTCAGATTCTGGAAAGCACATGAAGTTAATAAAGACAGATGGAGTTTAAGAAATCCATCTATCATCAACAACGATAAAAATTATAAGGAAAGCATGCACACTGACAAATTTCTGATTTTTAAAAACTAGCTTTTCTGAGTATATTGTAAATAATAGGCCCAAGCCAATCTGTGTATTTTCCAATAATATACTTGATGCATATGATTTGTGCCACTTTTAAATTCCATTTGTTAGGGTAGAGATTATAAAATCAATGTTTTTCAACAAAATTCTCATTTTCATACCAAGCAAACCTCGGGTTTTGGGGTGTGGAACTAAACACAGATCACACAGGTTTTATTTCTTCCTTCCACATAAGGCAAGAATTAGTCAAACAGTTCTCGTGATCTAAGCCTGCAAGTGATGACACCAATACCTGAAAAATGCATTTGGATACTGCACAATTTTAATGGTGTCTCTCTTAATAATGCTTTGAAATCGTGACATTTGACTGTATCTTAATCATCATCACCAATCCTTATCAGAATGGGTATGCCAAGCTTTGAGTCCGTTTTCCCAGCTCCCAGGGAAGGGTCTCTCTCCCTGTTGATTCTTTTCCATTCCTCACATTCCAGCTGAGTCAGTCACCTCAGTGGATTTTAGAGCTTTGCAGTGCTTCTATCCTGTGCAGTGCAGATTGCAACTCTCTGCTAACTTTTAGAATCTAATTTCTGTTGCTAAATTCACCTGCCCCGAAACAACACCAACTTTCCAATTAGATGATCTGAAAACAAATTAATTTTAAACCACACATGCTGTTCTTCAAGGCAGCACCTAAACCCAAAACCCTCTCAGACAAATCAAATCTACACAACGTTCAGGCTCGATTTTCGCACAAAGATTGCTGACCTTGGGGTTGTGCCCACAGCTTTAAATCGAGTTCTGCAATTGCTCCTTTAGCCTGATAATTATTTGTGTGGGAACCAGATTAAAACCCTGTATCTTCCACCTGTGAGAACTCAGAAAAACAACATTTCTCCAACCATGGCTACAGCCAGGCAGTCTAGTCTCCCTGTGTGCTGAGGTACACTCCATCAGCACATGGTCATCTCCTTTCCCAGCTTTATGGACAGGCAGTTGCCTCACTTTATCCTCTGGTGTGCCTGTCAGGAGAAGTTTGTTTATTTTTCCCAAGGGGAAGCTGTGTTTATTTTTCCCAGACCGTGCTGCTTTGTTTGTTGCTGGTGGAAGGGGGACAAAACGATGACAAAAACAAATCTGAAGAGCTGGTGAGCTGCCCTTCAAGATCCTTTTAGGATCCCTGTATTTAGCTTAATGTACGTAGCTCTTTTCTACCCTCAGCTCAGAGGGCTTACTCTGTCTTTCAAAGTAAAATACTTCTGCCTTTTATTTACATGGTCCTGATTTCTCAGAGTTGC